GTGAGTGCACATCCATAGGGTGAGGGGCAAGGTTGAAGGCTTGGCAAGATTATACCAACTCCATCTTGGTCAATATCTCGGTCAATGGCCTTGGTCAACGCTGTGGTCAATGCCGGTCAACACCTCGGTCAATGCTGGTCAGCCTTCTTGGTCAACACCAGTCAACTCCTTGGTCAATCCCGATCAACCTCCTTGGTCAACGTCGTTCAACTTCTTGGTCAACCCGCCGGTCAACTTGAGAAGCTCGGCTATGGCTGCCGACCCTCTCTCCTTCACCAACCTTCTCCTTCCTCCTCCTCTCTCTACTCCCTTCTCTCTTCTTCTTCACCCCCGGCTATGGCTTCTCTCCCCTCCTTTGTGTCTGCTTCCGCCTTCACTTTCTTTCTTCTTCACTTGATCTTGTTTCTCACTTCCGGTCCCTTCCTTCTTCTTCCTCTCCCTGGCCGAGCTCGGCGGCTATGGCCACCACTTTCCCCTTTGAGCCACAGCAGCCAATCTTGTATCTCTCTCTCTCTCTCTCTCTCTCTCTCTCTCTCTCTCTCTCTCTCTCTCTCTCTCTCTCTCTCTCTCTCNTCTCTCTCTCTCTCTCTCTCTCTCTCTCTCTCTCTCTCTCTCTCTCTCTCTCTCTCTCTCTCTCTCTCTCTCTCTCTCTCTCTCTCGTCTGTGCAGGTGCACGGCGTCCTTCTGCAGCGGCGCAGCTATGGCGGCTCCTTCTTCCTCTATGGCGGACGCTGACGTGGCGCCCAGCTGGCGCCTCTCCTCCTTGCGCTATGGCACAGATGCTGATGTGGCGCCCAGCTGGCGCCTCTCCTACCTCGTGCGGATGATGATGATGGCTATGCGGGGCAGCAGGAACCAGCTTCGATACCAATTGCAACCAGACGCGCCTTCTTCCTTACTCAGCATGCATGAAAACAGATGGCAATCACACTGGCGCCAGGCGCTGACACAAAGTTCAGAGATATCGAGGCCAAGAACACAGTTCAGACTCAACTTGCTTCCAATGACTATGGCGCCTGTAACGGGAGCGAGGCTGAGGGAGACAGGAAGAGCCGAGGGAGAGGGGAGAGGGAGAGAGAGAGAGAGAGAGAGAGTGAGAGCACACACACACACTCACTCACTYGACACGACTGAGGGTCGGACGCAGACACAGTGGCAAGGACACAAAGTCGAAGTCTTGGATTCCGAATGCCGAAAACAGCAAGTCACACTGAGTACGAGTACAGCAGCAGAGAACTGGTACGAGACTGGTCCCCGTACTGTACGGGGCACCGGTATAAGTACCGGGTGTCCGCTACAGTACTGGGGCAAATCTGCAAAAGCCCCGAGGGCAGAACTGAAAAATGCAACATTTGAAAGTGGCGCCCGAACTGCAGCATGGCGCCAATTGTCCAAAATCCGACGGTACCAAAGGAGGGGTTTGGAAAGCGGGTGCCAGGCCAAAAACGTGATGCAGCAGAAACAGCAAAAAGTAGACCAGGGATCGAGCCCTGGCGGAGTCCGTAACAGCCCCTGTGCGCCTACACACTTCTCAGCCGATACTGTATCCCCGGCAACTGTTCACACACACGCTACTCTGGATCTCCCTGGATGTCCCACATACACACACACACTTCGTGCAACACGCTCACATATACACCTGTCTCTTATACACATCTAGATGTGTATAAGAGACAGGTCCGTAACAGCCCCTGTGCGCCTACACACTTCTCAGCCGATACTGTATCCCCGGCAACTGTTCACACACACGCTACTCTGGATCTCCCTGGATGTCCCACATACACACACACACTTCGTGCAACACGCTCACATATACACACTACAGCCTATCTCTAACTTGCGGCAGCTATGGCCGCTTCGTCTCCCTCACAGCCCACTTCTCCTACAGGCACCTGCAGACTTCCTTGCACAAGACGCTCAGGCAGCGCTTCCGCACGGCTCACAGGCAGAATCAATGCATGGCTGGACGCTGCATCTTGATTTATACTTCGGTTGGTCGCTGGTCTGCCCCTTCCGACTCCCTGGATGTCCCACACACACACACACACTTCGTGCAACACGCTCACATATACACACTACAGCCTATCTCTAACTTGCGGCAGCTATGGCCGCCTTCTACCTTCCTAGCTACGAGCGGCTATGGCCGCTTCGTCTCCCTCACAGCCCACTTCTCCTACGGGCACCTGCAGACTTCCTTGCACAAGACGCTCAGGCAGCACGTCCGCACGGCTCACAGGCAGAATCAATGCATGGCTGGACGCTGCATCTTGATTTATACTTCGGTTGGTCGCTGGTCTGCCCCTTCCCACTGGGCCCAGGGTGCACACAGTCCCACATGGTACTTGCTGACTGGACAAAGTGCGACTGGGACTGGGAACCGCCGACTAGGCGAGGTTGGACTGCCCACTTGCCCACTCGCCTCTAGCCTAACCTTAGCAATTCTTGGAAGGCCACTTCCGGACCTTCCGGAAGTCTGTAGGCTTGGCCTTTCGGGACTGTAGCAGCTACGACCTTGACCTTTCAGGACTGTAGCAGCTACGACTTTTACACAGCTACGACCCTTATTTGACAGACCTATGGTTCAAGACCCGACGACCACACTAACCCTCGACGGACTCGACTACCAAGACACAGGTCATGGGTTCAAACACACTGGGGTCGACTTGGTACTGTACGCGGGTGAGGGCAAGGTTGAGGGATCAAGCCCTGGGATCTGCATCGCTACTGCGAAGGTGAAAACCGTTTCAGGTTGCAGATTCAGAGAGATTTAGGGTTTAGGACAGGAATAGAGCAGTCATACGGTTTGAAACCCTAGATTTAGACCTAGCGTTTGACAGCAACTCTAGACTATGAACAGAAACCAATTTGGAACGAACTCACACGGGTAATCTTGATTGCAGCAGCAGCGCCAGTAAGATTTTTGCAAGATAGCAGCAGCGACAATGAGCAGATGCAGTAGCAGCACGACTCAGAAAAACACTTCCAAGACCCAGCTGGTCTCAGATGAATCAGCCGTTAATCAGCTTCGCCTGATTCTTCCAATCAATTTCCTAGATGGTTCGCCCATTAGAATTCTTCAAATTTTGTCTCCTCGCGTGCAGGAACTCGTGAAGAAGAAGCCCCAATCCCTTCCTGGAGTGAACAAACCTCTGTGTCTGACTGACAGCTGATTAATCTTAGTGAAACCCTAATCAGGCAAATGCCAGACTGAGTTAGGGTTTTGAAACCCTAACTTTCCATTGGCAACCATTTGTAGGGTTTGCTGCCCTAAAGTAGGCCTGCGCTAGTGCAGGTTTCACTCCCAGGTGCAGTGCTCCAATTCTCAACCTTTCTGCAGCAGTGCTCCCTGAACCTCATTTTTCCCTCCACTCACACACCTCCTATCACCTTCTGCTCTCAGGTAGCTTCACTGAAGGTAGCAGAACCCTCGGCTCCAACTCCAGCGGCCTCCTAGACGAAGACGGCCAACAGCTTGCTCACAGATTGCACCCGGTTGCAGCTCCGATGCCAACTGTTATGTGACCGATTGAAACAACATCCAATAGAGCATCCACATGTTCCCATACACATGCACAATGACAATGCAGACTTGGAGAGGACAATCCACACCAAACCGGACTGAAGATGCACATCTAAACTCAGACAGAACTGGTAGAAACTCGATTCACAGTCCCTCTTCTCTTTCCAGTTCAATCAGCTTCACCAAGAACCCAAGAATCTCTACCGAGTTATGAACAACCTCAAACAAGTGCAACACTGGCTTTATCAAGCCTTTAGGAGTCTTCTTCCTTCCTCCATCCACCTCCTTTCAGCCCCTGACTATGGCGCTCACTCAGAAACCCTCCATCCACCTCCCAAAACCGCTATCTGCACTAGCGCCTATCAGTATCAATTCAGATACAGCAGCGTCAGTCCAGATTCCACTTTAGAGGGGTGGTGCCAGCTCCAGAAAGAAGAAGACGAAGCAACCTCCAGCTTGAAGAAGAAGAAAGAGCTGTGAAGACGAAGAGGATATGGCAGCGCCTAACCCTAATACAGCACAGATATGGTGTCACCAGGCACAGCGCCTGAAGCACCTGCGTCAGAGCTGGTCGCAGAAGCCCAGCAGTCGCCTGAAACACCTGCTTCAGCGCTGCTCCGGCAGCCTGGCGGCATCAACAATAATCTCCTGCAGCGTTCACACCAACTCCAGGCCAGTAGGTCAAAGACCTCTACCTCTACAACTGGACTCTATTTATAGTTCTAGACAGACCTACTGGACTGGACTCCTAGGACCTAGGACACAGCTAAGAATAACGGGCCTGACTCTTCCTGCAACAGCGGTATCAGTCCCAGGCAGAAGCGAAAGGTCGCCAGTCTCTTGCAGCAGCAAACGGTCACCAGTCTCGTGCAGTAGTGAAAGATCGCCAGTCCCGTGCAGTAGTGGAAGATCACCAGTCCCGTGTAGGAGCGAAGAGTCAATTTAGACCTGGACCAGGTTGAAGACCAGTAGTACCGATTCTAGGAATTTGCAGAAGTGTCCCTGTCGGGCTAGGCCTGTTTTGGTCACCGGTTAGGACCCAGAACTTGGAAAAATTACAAAGTGTCCCGATTACAGTTGCAGCCCGTAGAGAAACTGCAAGTTCATTGCCCCTGTCCTCCGGATGAAGGCCATGTCCAGATGGTACCCCAACAACCACCTCCCTGGTGCGGCGCCAACCAGGAAGAGGAAGAGGAAGAGGTCAGTCTCCTTGCCAGCACCCTCCTCCTCCCTCCTCTTTCAACCTCTAATTTTCCCTGTAGCCCTGCTTGAAGGTCTTCTCCCTCGACCTCCATAGCCTAGGATATCTCCTCCTACTACTACTACATAGCCGTCGAGGTCTTCACCTTCACCTTCATATGTGGAGTTTGAGATGCAAAGTTTTCCAGAGGTGAATGTTGAGAATTGGGTGGGTTCATTACATCATTCGTCTTCTGTACTGAAATGTGGTGTGCTGTGGTAAAATTGGCATTTTTTGCAGATATCTTCAAGCTTCATGTAGAGGAGCTGAGGGCCAAACAGGAGGAGATTGAGAAGAAGCAGGGTGAGATCGAGGTTTTGAAGGCTATTATCAGCGCTGTGACTCCGTCTTCCACAAAGAAGCAGGACAGCTCACACTCTACTGTGCCATAAAGTCCTCTCTTTCTTCCTTGCTGGAAAGCACCCCTGTTGAGAGACGGTGCGCTTGCCTGTTCTTGAACAGGCCATTCTTTCAACAACCCCTGATAGCCAGCAGGCAGCATCCTCATCTTTAGGCTCTGCCAGTGCTTCACCAGCAGCAGCGACCTCGTCGACTGAGAGCTAAATTGGTGAGCTAGCAGCTTCTGCGTTTGGATACTGAACAAACCGTGCCAGCCAGAAGCATTCTTGTTACACAGAAGTTATCACTCTAGATTGCTCAGCACTGTCTACGGGATCAGTAGCAGGGTTGCCGCATCCTTATCCTGCTCTTGCCTCTTTTGACTGGTGTAATATCAGTTGTAGGTGGAACTTTTCTGCAATTGGGGAAAGAGGTCAAATGTGGCAGTGCAGCTGGGGATCGATCAGCATGCCATTGGCAGCCGGATAGTGCCTGTATTGGCCGTAAGTGCAGGTTTGCAGTCAAGATGCAGCTTCCTTGGTTGGTTTCGCAGCAGTCAGTGGAATGTTCTTCCTGTCTATGGGGAGAAGTTGACGCTGCAGCTTCTTCTGCTGACGAGTGAATGTTAATTTGTTGCCAGCATTGATTCAAGGGATGTTTTTCTTGATCGATCTTGTTGCCAACGATGGATTAGCATTTGTTTCCTGTGGCGGCAGCTCCATCCTGGTTCGCAGAATAACAATGTCCTCAGCTGGAAACAGTGCACATTCTTGTGCAAGGTTGCAGATCGTATTGTTCGCAGTTTTGACCGTCTGGACTAGTGCTATTCATAATCTGCCTTACCAGGAAACCATGTGTTTGCAGGAGGGGCTGTTAGAGAGCAGTGGCATGATGACTTACATTGGGCCCATCCCTGTTGGATTGGCCAAAGGGAAGCTCGACCGGATGGTGATGTCAAGAGTGATGCAGAGGGGGTGCAGGAACCGAGTCTTGATCGCTGTTGTTAAAAACTTAGACTGCTGTTTTTTGCCAATGGGTTGTGGACGACGCATTTGTTACCGGGAAACCATGTGTATGCAGGAGGGGGCATTAGAGAGCAGTGGCATGATGACTCAGGCTGGGCCCATCCATGTCGGATTGGCGAAAGGGAAGCTTGATGGTGTTGTTAAGAGTGAGGCAGAGGGACTGCAGCAATGGAGCGTTGATCGCTAATGTTAAAAAGCGAGACTGCTTTTTTGCCAGTGGGTTGTGGGCAACGCATTTGTTGAGGAGGGTTGGTGAACCCTGGTGTTGTGGGCCATGAAATAGCAGCAAATTCTCACCTGTATGGGCTGTTGGATGGTGGGGGTCTGTCCTTTTATCAGTGAATGGCCAGCAGAGGCACATCCTTGTTGATTTTGTAAGCGGTTGCATGGTAGTCATCACTCCTCCTTGTGTATGGGCAGCAGATGCACATCCCCTTTATTTACAGGATTCTAGCCATGTTAATCGAAGGTGGGATATCTGTGGTGCTTCATTGGATTCGGTATGGAGCAAAAAAGAGGGGGGGGAGCATTCTGATGAGGGATGGAGGGTGTCTGTCCTTCGGGACATCCGTTAAAATTGGAACAATACAGAGAAGACTAGCATGGCCCTGCACAAGGATGACACACATAAATCGAGAAATGGTCCAACTTAGGGGGGGGGGAAGGATGGAGGGTGTCTGATGTCAGAAGCCAGCACATGTACAGAGCCTTTCAGCATAGATAAGTCTCATCGGAGCTTATCACCGACATTCTGGTGGAGGAAAATAGTTCCCGTCTTCACTTGTGACTGGCAGCGTTCTTGCAAAGGGCTGCAGGAACAGATGGAGCGGAGGTGGAGAAGGCGACTTAGCTCTGTATGTGAGCACCTTGCTGCTGTTTCCGAAAGATCGTTGAATGGTGCCATTGCCATTATTAATGTTCGTGAGGTAACAGATTGTGACATGGATCCCAAGTACGTGTACACTCCTGAGGTCATCTATTTGAAAAAGAACGACATTAGACATGTTCTTTCACTGAGAGAAGCCAAGCAAGCCGAATCCAATCCATACTGAAAGTCCGTAGACCGGAATGATTCAGTGCGATTGTTTTTGCACGTAATTCTACTCATGGTTGCTATCTATAAGGTTGTTTCAGCAATGCTGCTCAGATAAGCAGTTTGAAATCACCACGCACGTAAAGAGGGTAGCTGGGTATATCTGGGCATAGTTCAGGATAGTTGTGAATATCTGGACATAGATGAAGATAGGGAGACTACGCGAGACATTGGGAGAGGATTGAGCTGAACCAGAAGCATCAGTGCTAGGAGTAGAATTAGGAGACGCTCTTCGGGGGGAAAGAGGGGGGTGAGGGGCCCGATATCACTTCCATTGTTGTCCCGCCCTGCGGACCGGAGTGCCACGACAGGGTGCATGGCTGCCTCCCAGTGGCACTCCCCCCCACTAGGATGAGCAACGAGTCCAGGCCCTCTTGGACCCCGTTGCAGTCGCGCCTGGCCCCTACCAGGCCCGATACCTCCCTGCCCCTTTTTGCCCTATACCTCCCTCTGTCCTCTTTGTTCCTTGGGCTGTATTATTTTCAGCTTGCCGGTATCACTTCCAGTGGTGTCCCGCTCTGCAGAGTGGAGTGCCACGACAGGGTGCATGGCTGCCAGGCCCTCTTGGACCCGGTTGCAGTCACTCCTGACCCCTGCCAGGCCAATACCCCCCTGCCCCTTTTTGCTCTATACCTCCCTCTGTCCTCTTTGTCCTTTTCAGTTTGCCGGTGATGAGCAACCGGAATGGGTCCCCCACAATAGAAGAGGTACGTTTTGTTAAAAAAAAAAAAAAAAAAAAAAATAGATTTTATTTTATTTTTCCGGCGGCAAACTCAGAAAACAGCTGAGTTCTTTTTTTTTCTTTTTTTCTTTAAAAAAAAAAAAAAACAAGCTCCTTCTATTCTGGGGAGCATCAGTCCGCTTCCTATCCACCGGCAAGTCAAGAAAATATATAGAACGCTTGAACACACTTCCTCACATTGTGGCTCGGGGAACCCTGACAACATATCTCTTCCTTCAGAGGAGGATTGACTGTCAGTCAAGCCCATTCTTTTATCCAAAACCTTTTCTGCTAGCGGTCGACGCCCCAAATAAAACATGCCTAAAACACAATTTCTGAGTTACCCTGTTTAGTCTCCTCAATGCTACTTCTGCTTAAACCCTTAACCCTATCACCTTATTCGCTTGTCGGCACCCCCCGTCTTCCGAGCCTCAGTCGTTGATTGCTCCCTCTTCAGGAGGATTTACCTCTGCTCTCCTCTAGTCTGCAGTTTTTGAGGTCCTTTCAAGAATCAAATAGAGCGACAACAACGTATGCTACATTTCCTCTCTGGTTCCCTCATTAATTTACACTTCGCTACCTTCCCTCTACCGTGGTCCAAACTCATGTCCCCCTTCTTTTTATTGTCTCCCCAAATCAGGGGTTGATAGTTCCACCGTGAATGTCCCTTGGCTCCGTTGCCCTTGGCCACCATTGCCAACTAACCATGTTTCCTTGTATAATTTCTATCTTCCCTCCTCCCAGCACATCCTTAGCAAAAGCCTCCTGCATTTCCCTCCCTTTCTTCAGTGACTTTCCCAGCGACTTCCTGGCTGTTTTCCATTGTGCTGTAACTTTTCCCTCGCCTCCCTTATATGCACTGGCTTTCGTTCAATCATTGCGTGAGAGCGACTTTTCCAAATTACCCATAGTCTGTATTGGCTCAGCTTTTGATAGCATGCGTATTCCAATCGTGCCCACATGCTGGGGGGTGCGTGCCCAGCGGCAACGTTACTGGATCGTCCGGGAAGTGGCTGGTTGTTGCCCTTTGCCACAGATTCCTGACTTCCTGCCATACTTGTGTTTCCACACTCCAATAAACAATGCCGCATTGTCTCCTTGGTGGTTACCTGTTCGCCATGTTTCTACGAGTGTTAAGCCATCCATTCACTGGTAGACCGGGAAAATACACGGCCACGGCATACTTCTGATTTCACCCAGCCTAGTTGCATTCAACTGGGCCCATGGGAATAGTTGTACTCGAGTCCGTGCTATTCCCATCTTGCTTTGCCATCTCTGTTCCAGCACTGGCTCTGGAGATTGCAATCTCATTCTGAGTTTACATCCTCGCCTAGTTGTATAATGTAGGAAATGTAGGATGTTGATTCGCAGCGCTACCTTTGTGCTTCCTCCGCTCATGCTCCAAAAAGAAAAGAGATTCTGTTTCACCCATCCTGAGGAATTTGAATCATGTCCTTGGCATGGTGCAAATCGAAAAGCAATGATGAATGCTTATTCCAGTACTGCCTTCGCAGTCATTCATATCACATTCTTTACCATTAGTGTCGGTTGAGGTCCACTTACGTGTTGGATGTAAGTGAAAGAGGGGCGGCTGACCTCGGATGGAGGTCATCAACAGGGAACGGTGAAGAGAGTTGAGTAGAGGGGTAGGTGATCAGGGGGGAAGGAAATGGGCCTAGCTCAGTTGGTACACCCATGAACTGTTGAAATGCAGACTGAAGTTCGAATCTAGATGCGATCATATGAACAGAATGAGTTCTTTTGAATTACCTGGGGACGGTCAGTTCACTGATGACATCTCAAGACCGCCGCCCTTTCAAACTAAGAAAAAGGGGAGAAAGTGTAAGACGAGGTGGGGAAGGATGAGGTCGGGAAGCTGATCATGAGGAGGATGTGATCGAGGGGGCGGCAGTGAACAACACTAGCCCGGGAGAGGACTGCTGTTTACAGCAGAGTTTTCAGACAGGTCATCGGGTCTGGGTAAGTAGGCGAGCACAGAGAGGATGCAGTAGCGGAAGGCGAAGAAAGAGTTATGAAGTATTGGTGCAAGAGGCAAAAAGGAGGCTGCTGCCCTAGAATCTACCCTGAGGAACTGACCACTTCCCTAATTTGCTGAGTTTCAGGGTTGCAGGTGCAGCAATCCCTACACTTACAGAAATCGCTATTCGGTACGTGAGATTTGGCCGATCCGGGCTGCCCGCGGTCTACCGGCCGACGGTTCGGATTTCCGCATGATCTTAAGACTTTAAGACTTTAAGATCGCGCGGCGATCCAGACCGTCCGCTTTGCCGGACAGCCTGGATCGTCGCGCGATCTTCCCTACACTTATAGAAATCGCTTACGTGAGAATTGGCAGATCCGGGCCGCCCGCGGTCCTACCAGCCCGACGGTCCAGATTTCTTCACGATCTTAAAGTCTTAAAAATTTTAGACTTTAAGATCGCACGAAGATCCAGGCCGTCCGGCAGGTCGGACGGCCTGGGTCGTCGCGCGATCTTAAAGTCTTAAGATCTCACGGAAATCCGGACCGTCAGGCCGGTAGGACCGCGGGTGGCCCGGATCGGCGCGCCCGTTGGAAATAGAGCCTGTTGTAGGGCGTCGCTTTCCCTGCACTGAAGTCCAACGGGTCCTCCCGCCTGCCCACCTCGACTCCGCCACCGGCTGCCACCTTTGCCTTCGCCCACCTCCCTTCCGCCTCCTCCAGCCATCTCCCCTCCATCAGTCCCCACCATCTCGTCTCAGCCTCCGCCCACCATCTCCTCTCCGCCTCCGCCCACCTCTTCTCCGCCCGGCGCCAACCTCTCCTCGACCTCCGCCCACCTCCCCTCCGCCTCCTCCTGCCATCTCCTCTCCGCCTTCGCCCACCTCCCCTCCGCCACCGCCCACCATCTCCTCCTTGCCTCCACCCACCTCCACTCCGCTCGGGGGCCACCTCGCCTCCACCTTCGCCCGCCGGTCCCCTCCCTTCCGCCTCCCCCACCCCTTGGGATTCCTCTGCCACTTCTCCCTCAGCATTCCCCTGCGAGTTCTCCTCCGCCTCCACTCACCTCCGCTCCCGCCTCCACCTACGCGCACCGCTGGCTACCTCACATCCGGCCCACCTCACATCCGGCCGACCTCACATCCAGCCCACCTCACCTCCGCCTCTGCCCACCTCACCTCCGTTTCTGCCCACCTCACCTCCACCTCCGCTCACCTCTGCCCTCCTCACCTATGTCCTACCCACCGTAGTGCTCTCTCTCTCTCTCTCTCTCTCTCTCTCTCTCTCTCTCTCTCTCTCTCTCTCTCTCTCTCTCTCTCTCTCTCTCTCTCTCTCTCTCT